AAAAAAAAAAAAAAAAAAAAAACCCAAAACTGTTTAATACAAAGTACTGTCAAGTGGTGATGAGCACTATGGAAACGTGAAGCAATGTCTGAGTGCAGCGAGTGAAGCGGTGCTGTTTTATGTGATTGTCATGGGGACCCCTCAGAAGAGCAGAGAGCTGAATGCAGTGAGAACAGAACCTTACTGAGGCCTGGGCAAGGCTCTTCCAGACAGCGAAATGCCCTAAGACAGGACTGTGTTTGGCATGTCCTGGAAACAGGAGAGAAGCCAGGGCCTCTGGAATGTGGTGAAGGAGAGGGAAAAGTAGGAAATGAGGCTGGAGAGAGAAGCAGGGGCCAGAATACATAGGGCTGTGTAAGTCACATTGAGTTCTTTGGATTTTCCTGTAAGTGTGGATGGGAAGCAGTCGGAGGGTTTTGAGCAGGGGTGGTGTGATCTGACCTGCATTTTAGAATCATCCCACTGGCGGAGGTGTGGAGGAAAAAAGCAGGGGCAGACGTAGAGGCGAGGGCAGCCAGTTAGGAGGCTACAGGAGTAGCCCAGACCAGACAGGAGGGTGGCTCGGCCCTCAGAGATCTTGGTGGAGCAGATTAAAGGGTGATCAAGTTAGAGCTAACAGACTTGTTTGTTTTTTTTTCCCAGACCGGGTCTCGCTTGTTGCCCAGGCTGTAGTGCAGTGGTGCAATCACGGCTCACTGCAGCCTTGACCTCCTGGATCAAGGTATCCTCCCACCTCTCAGCCTCCCAAACACCTGGGACTACAGGTGCATGCCACCATGCCCAGCTAAGTTCTGTATTTATAGAGACATGGGTCTCACCGTGTTACCCAGGCTGGTCTTGAACTCCTGGGCTCAAGACATCTGCCTGCCCTGGCCTTCCAAAGCGTTGGAATTACAGGCGTGAGCCACTGTGCCAGGCCAGAGCCAACAGGACTTACTGAGAAACTATGAGAGAGAGAGGGGTCAAGGATGACTCCCCCTGTTCAACCAAGCAACGAGGTGAATGGTGCTGCTGCTTCCTGAGATGGGGAAGACTGTAGAGGAAACAAAGCAGGAATGACAAATCAGGAATTTAGCTTTGAATACATTAGGTTTGAGAAGTCTAGTCTATACCCAAACAGACCACACTGTGGCATCTGTGTAGCAGGATCTGCAGAATCCAGCAGGATGGGTGCCAGTGCCAAGCTGAGTAGACAGTTGGGTCTGTGAGTCTAAAGCTCAGGGAAGACCTCAGGGTCTGGGATACAAATCTGGAGATCATCAGCCTGTCCGTGAAAGCCAGGGGAATGATGAAACATACTATGAGAAAAAGAGAAGAGAGGAAAGAGAAGAGGTCCATGGAAGGAGACCTGGGAGAATCCAACCTTGGATTAGATCAGGAAGAGGAGAATCCAGCAAAAAATGCTGAGAAGTCTCTGGAAAGGAAGTCTTCCTTCCTTCCCCTGCACTGGGAGAGGTGCTATCCCAGAAATCAGTAAAGAAAAGTGTTTGATGGGGAGAGCAGGATCACCTTTGTCAACTGCTGCTGTGAGACTTGGGAAAATGAGGACTAGAAAGAGAGCAATGGAAACTTGAAAGGCCATTGGTTATCTTGACAAGAGTTTCTGTGGGGGTGGTGAGAATTGGAGCCTGATTGGATGGGTTCAAGAGAGAATGGGGAGTTCTAGCCAAGAAGGCTGAGAGGATGAGTCAAATTAAAAACGTTTTCTTTTTATGAGTCCTCTCATATTTACTGATATATTGGGTCTCCATTCTGCCACGTTACTTTATATTAATCATGTATTATATCTGCTGTGTTTCTTTCTCTATGCAATGTATTTTTTTACTTTAAAAATTGTATTTATAAAGGTTTGTAATTTTATTCCAGTGGTTATTTTATATGTACACTTTTTTTAATGCTCTTTTTTAGAATTTTTTTTTAAAACAGGGTCTTGCTCTTTGCCCAGGCTGGAGTATAATGGCGCAATCCCAGCTCACCAAAGCCTTGGCCTCCTGGGCTCAAGAAATCCTCCCACCTCAGCCTCCCGAGTAGCTGGGACTACAGGCATGTGTCACCATACCTAGCTATTTTTTTGTATTTTTTGTAGAAACGGGGTCTCCCTGTGTTGCCCAGGCTGGTCTCAGTCAGGCGATCCAGGGCACAAGCGATCCTCTCACCTCAGCCTTCCTTGGCTCTTACTCTTATTTTCTTGTTTAAGCTTTTACTATCTGGTTTGTAAATACTGTAGTATTCTTCATCTCCCATACATTGCCCACACAACAATCTAGGAACATATTCTGTTTTTTCCTTTCTCTTTCCCTTGTTGTCCCATTTGGAGTTGCACTATTTCCTTATCATCTCTTATCAGGTGAAGCTCGTTCTCTAGTGTACAGATCAGAAAACTTTTTTATTTTTTACAAGGGGCCAGATAGTAAATATGTTGTTTTGCAGGCATGCAATCTCTGCCACAGCTCTACCATTGTAGAGTATAAGCAGCCATAGACAAAATGTAAACAAATGGGTATGGCTGTCTTCCAATAAAACTTTATTTGCAAAAACAGGTGGTGGGCCAGATTTGGCCTATAGGCTAAAGCCCTATCTTAGAGTAGCAGCAGTAAGGAGACAGAAAAACTGTGCAGGAGGCGAGAGAAAACTGGCAGGAGAGCTAGGGGCATATTGACAAAAGAGGAGACCTTTAAATCTTTCAGGGGTAGAAAAAATGAAATTCTTTGATGTTACTCAATAGTTTACCTACTCGGAAGGAGGAAAGGTGTCTCTTCCATCTCAGGGTTGGCTCTGCATCCATCGTGCTGGATTCTGCAGATCCTGCTGGCCAGATGCCACAGTGTGGTCAGCTGAAAGTGATTTGCTCATCCTGAAAACAGCAGGTACAGAAAGCGCTCTTTCAGCGCCATGGCAACCAGATCCTGTTTTTCTAAAAAAGGATCAGATCAGCGAGTGCCTCCCTCCAGGCATTGATCCATTAATGTGCACTGAGCTCATTTCAGAGCCGGGCCTTGGGCTGAGTGCTTAGAATACAAAGATACATAAGGCAAAGTCCCTGTTTTTAAGGAGCTCTCAGACTGGAGGAGGAGGCAGACATGCACAGTAAACAGTGTAATCACACGCCATCAAAGGAAGGGACACACAAAGGGCTGGGGAGCGTCTCCTCCTCTTTGGGAGTGAAAAACTAACCTGGAGATCTAAGGTTGAGCTGAATTTTGGAGAATCCGTCAGAATTGGTCAAGAGGACAAACGGGGATGGGTCAAGGAAAATGGAGAAGCTTGAGGGCTGTGGCAGCTCCGCAGAATGGCAAGTATGGCCAGAGGATGGTGTCTCCGGGGTGCCGGAGATGGCCATGGAGAGGCACCGAGGCCAGGCCATGCTGCCTCTGCTGCCTCTGCTGTCACCAAGGTCAACAACAACCTGGTGCCCAAGCCAGTGGCATTTTGCAGCCTACTTTTACTCATTCCTTCTTTTGGAAAATGCTCCCTTTACAGCCTGATTTTCATGGTATCATGACCTGCTATCTCCTGATGTGTCCTCTGCACAGCCAGCTGCTCTTTCTCACTCTCTTATTTGTGCTCTCACTTCCTTAAATTTTAACCTTCTTCTCATGCTGCACTTTCTCCAGGTATATGAGAAACGTCTCCATTTTTCACTTTCATCTCTGTTGCTGTTTGTCTGTTGTCCTCAATTTCTCCTACCACAAGATGAGACCCTATATGTATCTGGGGATGTGGCCTCAAGAACACCAGTGTGGCAATCCCAGTGAAAAGCTTTTTCCCAGTACTCATCTTTCCATCCTGGGGAAGGCATGGGATTGCTGCTGGTTGGTTTTGTGCCTATCCTGGGACCCATCACTATTATCAGAGTGATGGGCCAATCCTATATATGGTGAGGGAAATGAGGTTCCATGATTGGCCCCGTCAGTCACAGGAGTGGAAAGGCAGTTTCCTAAGACAGATGTATCAGGCAGGAGACAGGAGCTATACAATGTCAACAGGGAAAGTGTAATATAAATAATCATGAACTAATAATAGCGGGTTAGCCACTAAGGGATAAAAAGAAGTCTAAAGGTTACTGAAACAGGTGAATGGATAAACAAAATGAAATGTGATTCTGCCATAAAATGGAATGAAATTCTGATAAATGCTCCACATGGATAAACCTTGAAGACATTATGTACGAAATGAAATAAGCCAGACTCAAAAGGGCAAATATTATATGGTGCCATTTATGCAATGTACCACGAATAGTCGATTCATAGAGACAGAAAGTAGAATGGAGGTTTTCAGGAGCTGGAGGAAGGGGAGAATGGGAAGTTATTGTTTAATGGGTGATAAGGTTTGGCTCTGGGTCCCCACCCAAATCTCATCTCAAATTGTAATCCCATGTCAAGGGAGGGACCTGATGGGAGATGATTGGATCATAGAGGTGATTCTCATGATAGTGAGTGAGTTCTCATGAGATTTGATGGTTTAAAAGTGTGTGGCTCTCTTCTCTCTTTTTCTCCCTCTCCTGCCACTTTGTGAAGAGAAGATCTGCCTTACTTCCCCTTTGCCTTCCACCATGAACGTGTTTCCCGAGGCCTCCTGTGGCACGCAGAACTGTGAATCAATCAAACCTCTTTTCTTCATCAGTTACCCAGTCTCAGGTAGTATCTTCGTAGCAGTGTGAGAACAGACTATTACAATGGGTATAGAGTTTCACCTTGGAATGATAGAAAAGTTTTGGAAATAGATAGTGGCAATGGCTGCAAAACATTGTGACTGTATCTAACGTCCATGAATTGTACACTTAAAAATGGTTAAAATGATAAATGTTATGTATGTTTTACCACAGTAAAAAAAATACAAGCCAGCCTGGCCAACATGGCAAAACCCTGTCTCTACTAAAAATACAAAAATGAGCCAGGTGTGGTGGCACACGCCTGTGATCCCAGCTACTCTGGAGGCTGAGGCAGGAGAATCACTTGAACCCGAGAGGTAGAGGTTGCAGTGACCTGAGATCACGCCACTGCATTCCAGCCTGGGCGATAGAGTGAGATTCTGTCTCAAAAACAATAAATAAACAAAAACCAGGAATCGTGGATATAGGTGGCAGGCATTAGCTCTAGGGCTGAAGCAGAGAACCCAAGGAAGGAACCAACTTGGAAAAGGGTCTCCCCAGGGATGAGACTCAGACACCGTTGGAGATGGTGTGGCTAGAGTCCGCAGGATGGCAAAGAAGTTTGTTGTAGTGCTTCAGGCCAGGCTGGCATGCAAGAAACCCGTGCACCGGTGGGGGCAGCGGGGTGGGGGCTGACAACACTCACTGAGAAGCTGCTGTCTGAGGCGCAGGCACTCACTAGGACTTCACCCGTGGTATGTTACTGAAACTCAGGGGAGCCAGCTGCTGGTGCGTTTATGAGACACACTGGGCCACCATCTGGGGCTTCAGCAGTGTTTGGTGAAAACCTGCCTGTGGGGTTGCTGCTAAATTTGCTGGAGAGCTGACTGAGGTGCTAGCAGAACTCCTCAGGAAACTCACCAGGGGTGAGCATCTCTGGGTGCCCCACGCACCAGTCAAGAGCGGGAGCAAGAGGAAAGGAAGGGAGCCTCTTCTTCCTGCAGTGTCCCTCCAGAGCCCTCCATTGACAGCACTTAGTATCGTGCTAGCAGGCAAAGACATGTTTACAGGATTCAGCTCCAGTATCACAAAGGAGGATAACGAAGAGTGGATTTGGAATTCAGAGGCACTAAAGTGATAACTGTCACCACCCACCTCTTTGGCTACCGAGTTTCCATATGCACCCTCCTACACATATCTGAACTTCTATACAACAATGAACAAAATATAGCTATCCTTCTTACCAGTAAAGATATTCCTACCCTTTCTCCCAAATGAGAAGATACTCAGTGCCAACAACAATTGTATCTATCTCTGGCTATATTCATTACTCGAATTTGATCACAGTCCCTCTAAATATTCTGTTACCAAAAGACCAAATTGTAAAATTAACCTCCAACAACTTATATATAAACTAATGAAGAAGGAGAGAGAGAGAAAATGGATGGCATTTCCCCATCACCCATCTATCAGCGGTAAAGAACTCTGGAGAAGCGCTCTTGAGGAAATATCTTTGGGAAGAATCCCTGATTGGCCCTACTTGGGTCATGTGTGTTGGAGTCTATGAAAGTCTGGAATTTTGCCCATCTTACAAGCTAGTAAGCCTGTTACAGTTTCATGGATGCTGGCAGATGACATGAGACTGGATCAGAGACAAAGGACTACACTACTCATGGCAGAACAAGTTGCAAGAGGTTTGTGTTAGTTAGCATTGGTTTTCCATGTCCCCAAGTTCCACTGGGGTGATGTGGAGGGGCCCAGGTGGTTATTGTACACGCAGTGTGTTTGTACTGCAACTAAGGAACACCGAGCTTGGGAACATACAATTTAACAGTAAGTGATGAGCAAGCCTGCCTCTTTGTCTGGGGCAGGGGGATATTGCTTTGTCAAGGCTGTCTACTGCAAACACAACCCAGAGAAATGTCTCAAGCAAGGAACAGTCAGGACCTTGCATTCTTGTCATCCCCAGCAAGAGCATGCAGAGACAATCAGAGCCCGTGGCAAATTGCCTGTCACAAAAATCCACCACAAGGCCTGACAGATCCTTGGCCAAATTCACATTATCCAATGAGTATGCTACCTCATCAGCTGCTCTGATTAGTCTGACCAACAGAGGGACCAAATCCATTTAATTTGATTCCTATCACATTTAAAATTAAGGCTGCTATTGACAGGACTTCAAGTCATGCAGTGAGGCAAGTCTGCCATATTGATCTCACCCATGTCCGCAGGGTCTCGGGCTCAGCCGACTGTTTAGAAGTTCTGGGGGCAAGGGAGACCAGTCATTCTTATTTCAGATAGCTAGGAAAAAATCTCATATCAGTCTAGGATTCATTATGACCCACTCATGGGAGTTTAGATGCACTGATATCAATGCCAGTGACTACAGGAGGCAATGCAGGCAGCAAAGACCCTCATCCCTGATGGAAGGACATTTATGGCCCATTCTCACTTACAAAGAGACGATCCGAAGGGGAGTAGGTCACTCTAGTTTAGGATTTGTTGTTAAATTTGATTTGAATCATCATTGCATTGGTTTGGTTAGGTAAATATACACACACACATATTATATATATTTTATATGCACATACAAGATAATAGATAGATAGATATCATATTGGTTCTGTTTTGTTTTTTTGTTTTTTTTTTTTGGAGAACCCTGACTAGCCCTAGTTGCCTTTCTTTTCTTTTTCCAGTTTTCTTCTGAGCTCATGTTCCCCCTCCTGATACCTTACCATCCTTTCCCTGAGCTCACTTTATCCTTTTCCTTCTTAGAGGCAACCATTTCATTAAGTTTTTAAGTGCCTGGCAATTGCTTGGTTACGACTGGTGTCTGCTCCGTGACAGCCTCTTCCTGGTGAGTATTCCACATCTGCCACTGGTTTTTCCTATCCGTTTCCTACATTTGCAGAGATCCTGTATGTCTTCCTTTTTGATGAGTCATCTTTGAACAAGTGGAGTTTTTCCTGGACCAGCTCTTTGCTGGTATCATGTGGGAGGAGTTGGGGCTGTGTTCCAAGTCAGCTGGAATTTTCCTTATAACCCAGGATTTTAGATGTGAGCTTGATCAGCCTTTACTTCTCTGCTTAAGCAGGTCTGGGCATGTTTGGCAACCTGGCCTGCATGATGGAGATTTGCATAATTTGGTGTTCATCTGTTTATTCAGTTTTTGCCTGAATGATGAACGAGGAAGTTTACGTCCTGCTCCCTGGGGACAGGCAGAGGCAGTGTGTGCACTTCCATCTGACAAGGACCAGATCTGAACAGTCTGGAGAGAGGAGCTGTGGTGACAGCAGAAAGATCTCGGCTTCAGGGGTCAGGTGTCCAGGTGAGACGCCACAGCGCGGCAGAGAGAACAGAGGCTTCTCTGCATGCCTGCCAAGGAATTGGCACCATGTCAACTGAAATCTTAGGTTACAGGAACAGAAACCAGCCCCGACTGACATGTGCAAGCCTGGAGCTTTCCTTTCTCCTTGCACTTCCCACATGTTCCCCACATAACCAGAAACCACAGAGCCACCCCCTGCCATCCAACGACTCCCTCCTGAGCTAGAAGCTTGTAAGACCCAGCTAGGAGTCTGAATGGTTGGCCATCTAAAGCAAAGAATAATCTAGTTTGTAACATGGGATCAAAGGAAGAACTGAATATCCAGATTCTGTGTAAAAGAGGCCACTTTGGAGATTTCTATGCTTCTCAGGGGCTGTCCCTCAGTATAACTCAGCTGTAATTTGGATTCCTATACAGATCCAACTTCCCTGGAAAGAGAAAGTCTCATGTTTGTTAATAGCATGAGGAAAGAATTAAAATATATCAGCTGCTGTGGGCTAATGTCATTTATTTTGACTCTTCTTTTGTAGAAGAAATGCTGATGCAGTGTCATGCTTGTCTCTGCCCTCCTTAGAGAACGCCTGAACAGTTCCATTGACTCAAAGTGAAGATCAAAAGAACCAAATGACAGCAATAGCTAAGTGTAATCATCAGTAACCCTGTGTTCTATCCACGGGTAAAAAACAATCATCCTCTTCATTATGGGTTTTAATTTAAAATATAATACATTTTTAGAAAGTGTCTATTTCCTTTTAGAATCTCTTTATATAATCTAGGGTATTCTGACTCTTAGATCTTCATTTAACTACTGAAAAGATTTGATCTCAAATCAATGATCTAACCACCCCTGCCCACCTCCCTCCCCATACACCCCCCAGCATGACTTCTGGGAACTCAGGTAAAATGCTTTCTGGAAACCTGCCTGTATTAGTCTGTTGTCACACTGCTAATAAACACATACCCGAAACTGAGTAATTTATAAAGGAAAGAGGTTTCCTTTATAGTTCCACATGGCTTGGGAGGTCTCACAATCATGGTGGAAGGCGAATGAGAAGCAAAGTCACATCTTACATGGCAGCAGGGAAGAGAGAGTTTGTGTAGGGGAACACCCCTTTAAAAAACCATCAGATCTTGTGACACTCATTCACTATCACGAGATCAGCACGGGAAAGACCTACCCCCATGATTCAATTACCTCCCACGACGTGGGATTTATAGGAGCTACAATTCACAATGAGATTTGGGTGGGGACACAGGCAAACCATATCACCGCCTAAAACCAACTCAATAGTTGGAGGAATTTGGGGAGAATCTGGAGAGGATTTAATTAATTTGGCAAAAGGATTAGCAATTGGATCTAAGTGAGAAAAGAGAATTCCTGGAGGAAGAAAAGATGTTTAGTTACACTGAGAAATTAAAACCTGAAGCAATTGCCTTTGAGATTTTTTTCAGGAAATGAGTATTGACTGCCTACTGTGTGCCAAATTATGTGTTTCATGTTAAAGACTCCAAAGTAGATAAGACATAGGCCCAGCCGTGGGGAGCTCATTGAGCCATAGAGAAAGTTTGAATGTTTCAGAGGAATCATCAAGAACAGGGGATCAGCAATCTATTATATTTCAATTGCCTCTTTTCATGATTGTAAAAGCAATGCATGCCTGCTGAAGAGAATTTGGAAAAACAAGAAATTAAAAATCGTCTCTGATCCTGCCACCAGAAATAACCACTGTTAGCAATCGTATCACTTCTGTAGGTCTATATGGTTATCATAATCAGCTCTAGCATTGATTACATGCATCTCATGTACCAGAGATTATGCTAGACTCTCATTTAATCTGCACATCAGCCGTATGAGGTAGGGACCATCATTTTCCTCATTTTACAGATGAGGAAACAGAGGCTTAGAGGGGTTACTCTGCCCAAAGTTTCATAGCTAGTGAGTGGCAGAGACTGGACTCACTCAGGCTCTGTCTTATTCCCAAGCTCTCAACCAACCCAGTGGTGAGAAGAGCCAGCAGCAAAGCCTGTCATCTTTGTAATTTTTTTTTTTAACCTCAAATCGGGGAGGAAAGCCTTTGTCATTAGAGGGGCAAGGCAGTTCTGAAGACAGCCCAATGGCCATGTCTCCGATTTGATTTTCAGGGGCCTGTCTGATACCTACGGAGAGGCAAGGGCTTAACAAGCTGTACCCTCAAAACAAAACAAAGCAAAACACAACTTTAGTCTCTTTAGGGACTCTCTGATAGTAATGCAGAGGAAGAAAGGCTTTCTTTGTCTCACTGGGAGGAGGGTTCCCTACGGAAATTGAAGGCAGTGCCTGTTGACATAGCGCTGCCACCTGGTGGAAATCATGGTGTAGGACATCATGTCCAGCACCACCAGCGCTGAGAGACACTCCCTGGGAAGAGAAATGTTTGGAGAGAAATTTGCAAGAAGTTGGAAGTCTTGCAGTAGCTGGTAGGAACAAGAATTATCACTGCTACTGTGACCCCCTAAGGCTCCCCACATCCTCTTAAGGCTTGGAGAAACTCACATTATGTATATTTTCCTGTACTATTGAAAAATGTTTTCCTTTATGCTTTGTTGTAATGAAATTACCTCTGATGGTCACATACCTTAAATATTTAGTATGTATATGAATACTAAATGTCCATTTTAGGAGTTAGTTTACCTGCATCTAAAATCAGGAATATGTCACAGAGTAACTGAGCAAAAAGTGCTGTAAGGTTTGTACATTTTGCCCTTTGCCTGGGATGAGAGGACCTCAATCATCTTGGTATTAATGACAGGAAAAGTGCCCTCCTATCCATGGGTATTGGCTACTCGACTCAATTCTCCTTATTTCCTTTTCTAGCATAACTCCAAGGATTGTGATTGTTGTTTTACATCTGTGTTAATGAGATAAATAGGTTTAAAATAAAAAGACGTGTACCAGGCAGATGGAAAGATGAATCATGAAGTTTTTGCCATCTGGATCTTCTGTCAAAGACAGATGAAAAATTCTGCCCAGGGTGTATGCTGAAGAACACAGATACTTAATCTGGAGTTCAAGTATCGGCTTCAAGGAGTCTATACACCCCCTGAAATTTTGGGCCGGATGGAATGTGTCTGGAAGTGTGTTCATTTTTCTGGGAGGAAAGTCCAGAGTTTTCATCAGCTTCTGAAAATAGTACATGCCCAAAGAGAAGGTTCAAAATCATTGCCTGGGGCCTTTCAGAGGGTCCTTCTAATCATGAGGTTCTCTAATGTTAATCAACATCACGTGCACTATTATTATTAAAAGTAATTGGGTCAAGCGTGGTAGCTCATGCCTATAATCCCAGTACTTTGGAAAGCTGAGGCAGGTGGGTTGGTTGAGTCCAGGAATTCCAGACCAACCTGGCCAACATGGTGAAACCCCATCTCTACAAAAAAAAAAAATACATAAAAATTAGCTGGGTGTGGTGGCACACGTCTATAGTCCCAGCTACTCAGGAGGCTGAGGTGGGAGTATCTCCTGAGCCCAGAAAGTGGAGGCTGCAGTGAGTTGAGATCATGCCCCTGGCACTCCAGCCTGGGCAACAGAGTGGGACCCTGTCTCAAGAATGATAATAGTAATCATCATCATCATCATCATGTTGCAAGCTGATTTGAAGTAACTCATTTTTAAATAAGCACTTGGATTTACATAGGCTTGACTGAGGAATTACACCAGTGATGAGGGGTTCAACCTGGACACTGGTAAGGCAGACCAAGCCACATGAACCCCTGAAGTTGGCAGGCCAGCAGCCAGTCCATCCTTCCTTCTTTAGACCTGTGGACTGCACTCAAGATCAGTAGAGGCTCTGTCAGAAGGTCCTAGGAAACAAGACTTGTCTATGGTTTCTTTACTTGAAAGTAAAAATGTTTGATGATATAATTTTTAAGTTCCTTTGAATCATTAAAGCTCACTGATTTAGGAGAATGGCTTTTACAATTTTTAAGCTTTAAGCTCCCTCCTAAGTTTCTGAAGATGCCCTTGGGCCACTTCATGGATTTGATATAAAATCTAAAGTCCTAGGGGTTTCAAGGAGCACAGCTTGGAATCTAACGTCCTAGTACATTCTTTGTATTAGTTTGTTTTCATGCTGCTGATAAAGACATACCCAAGACTGGGCAATTTACAAAAGAAAGAGGTTTAATTGGACTTACAGTTCCATGTGGCTGGGGAAGCCTCACAATCACAGTGGAAGGCAAGGAAGAGCAAATCATGTCTTACATGGATGGCAGCAGGCAAAGAGAGAGAGCTTGCGCAGGTGAATTCCTCTTTTTTAAACCATCAGATCTCATGAGACTTATTCACTGTCACCAGAATAGCATGGGAAAGACTTGCCCCCATGATTCAATTATCTTCTGCAGGGTCTCACCCACGACATGTGGGAATTCAAGATGAGATTTGGGTGGGGACACAGCCAAACCATATCATTCATGTAAGTCATTGAATTGATAAGTGAAAAGGTAACTGGCGTTCTTAAAAGAAGATTTTGCCAAAATGTGTTTGAGCTTGGATGTCTTAATAAGACTTCCTATTGATTTAAACTAAATTTAAATTAGGAGTCCCTGTGTCATCTCTTTCTGATTGATAATCAATTAGCGGAGGCTTCTCATTCAGCATCTTGGTTTTTTGATTGTCTGTTTTTTGCTTCCCTAGTCTGCTATATACCTAACGAAAGAAAACACTTAAAGATTACTGGATTCATATGAAGTTCCAGAAAAAGCAAAAATAATCCATAGTGGAAAAATCAGGGAGCTGGAGGCTATTATCCTTAGCAAACTAACACAGGAGCAGAAAACCCAATACCAGATGTTCTCACTTGTAAGTGGGAGCTAAATGATGAGAACTCATGAACAGAAAGAAGGGGACAACAGGCTGGGGGCGGTGGCTCATGGCTGTAATCCCAGCACTTTGGGAGGCCAAGGTGGGCAGATCACCTGAGGTCAGGAGTTCGAGACCAGCCTGGCCAACATGGTGAAACCCCATCTCTACTAAAAATACAAAAATTAGCCAGGCATGGTGGTGCATGCCTGTAATCCCAGCTACTTGGGAGGCTGAGGCAGGAGAATCACTGGAACCCAGCAGGCGGAGGTTTCAGTGAGCCAAGATCACGCCACTGCACTCCAGCCTGGGTGAGAAAGTGAGACTCCATCTCAAAAAAAAAAAAAAAAAAAAAAGAAAGAAAGAAAGAAGGGGGCAACAGACACGGGGGCTTATGAGGGTGGAGGGTGTGAGAAGGGAGAGGAGCAGAAAAGATAACTACTGGGTACTGAGCTTAATACCTGGGTGATGAAACAATCTGTACAACAAACCCCCTTGACACAAGTTTACCTGTGTAACAAACCGTCACATGTACCCCCAAACCTAAAGTAAACACTTTTTTTTTTTTTTTAACTCAGAAGAGCAGTTGCCTCAAGGAGGAATGGTGAGGACAAAGATGAATTGAGAGGAGATGTGCTGGAACATTTGGGGCTGATCTGGGATTACACATTGTTGAAACTTAGTGGATGTGCACTTAAGGGGTTTCTTCTTCATTTAATTGAATTTAAATTTCACATCGAAAGAAAAAATTTGAGTACATACAATAAAATAGTATTCAGCCTTAAAAAGAAAGGAAATCCTATTACATACTACTTCAGGGAAGAAACTTGAGGACATGATGCTTAGTAAAATAAACCAATCACAAACCCCGTGTGATTCTACGTATATGAGGTACCCAGAGTGGTCAAATTTGTAGAGACAGAAAGTAGAATGTTGGTTGCCAGGGGCTGAGGGGAAAGGGGGAATGGGACGTTATTTTTTAACAGGTATGGAGTTGTCGTTTTGTAAGATGAGAAAGTTCTGGAGATTGGTTCCACAGCAATATGAATTTACTTAACACTACTGAACTATATACTTTAAAATGGTTCGAATAGTAAGTTTTATATGATTTTACTAAGATTAGAAAGAAAAAATGAGGAAATATCAAACTCTAGTAATAATATGCATGGTGAAATATTTAAGAAGGGGGTGTAATGATGTCTATTTAATTTGAGATGCTTCAGAGAAGTAAAGTGGATGGGCCGAGCATGGTGACTCACACCTGTAATCCCAGCACTTTGGGAGGCTGAGGCAGGCGGATCACCTGAGGTCAGGAGTTCAAGACCAGCCTAGCCAACATGGTGACACCCTATCTCTTCTAAAAATGCAAAAATTAGCCGGGCATGGTGTCAGGTGCCTGTAATCCCGGCTATTCAGGAAGTTGAGGCAGGAAAATCACTTGAACCCAGAAGGTGGAGGTTGCAGGGGGCTGAGATTGTACCACTGCATTCCAGCCTGGGCAATAGAGGGAGATTCCATCTCAAAAAAAAAAAAAAAAAGTAAAGTGGATGGATGCAAGAATGGAGAGATGGGTAGATCGGTGATTAAACAAGAACAAAAATGGTGGGATACATGTCACTGTAAAATTCTTTCATCTTTGCTGTATTTTAAAATTTTCATAATATTGGGGAAAAGTTAAGAAAAGATTATTGGGAATAAGTTGGCAATTTACATAAGGAACTCCTTGATTTTTTTGGTTTATAAATTCGTTTCTTTAATAATATATGAAATATGCAAATTAAAACCTCATGATATACCACCATACCCTTCTCAGAATTGGCAAAATGAGAAAAACTGATACTAACAAGTATTCATGAGAATCTCATATATTACTGGTGGGTGTGTAAATTGGTGCAATCATTTTGGGAACTTGGCAGTGTCTTCTAAAGGTAAAACATGTGTCTATCCTATGATCCAGCAATTCCACTCCTAC